TTGGAGACCTCTGTAGATACTGCTGGCCACTTCTTCCAGCACAGGCTGGCCACCTGTGTCGGAATGAGTGTGCATTTTGGTCAGTATAAAAGCCCAAGCCTCATACGATGTGGGGGGAGGCAGAGCCTCTGTGGGGACGCCTGCTAAGGTTGAGCCTGCCACCTCGCACTGCAATGATGCTTCTCGGAGCTGGTTTGCTGTTAGTCTCCACAGGGTCCTTGTTCTGTACGTGGGACTGTAGTGGGAGTAATGATGGCTTTTGCAGGGACTCAAAAAAAAAAAGAGGGGGGGAGAGAGAGAGTAATGATGCTGCACTTAACCTGTCAACTTCTCAAGAACTGAAGAACTGATAACCTGGGGGAGGGGGTATATTTGTGTCCTGCCTACGGGTCCATGGTGACTGCCTGCAAAGTTTGTCAAGCCTTGCCGTGAGCTGGACAGACGAATGGATAAACCTGATGCCTCAGCTACAGGAGCTGACCGTGAATACCCCAAGCAGACTGAGATAAAGAAAAACGAATGACTGCAAAACATCACTTGGGGGCAGATGAAAAGTAACATCCTGAATATGTGTGCTTGTAAAGTAGCTATTATTAGAGCTTGTGATTTTGTGTATAAAACCACCTGTATTTACTAGCTAGTTGCTAATAAGAAACTGCACCTTGTATAGATTTGTCACTTGTAAAAGAGATGTTAGAGTATGGAAATTTGCAGCAGCTGCTAGAAAATGCTAAGGCAAAAGCTAGAAAAATTTTAATGCAATGGTAGTGTTATAAAGCAGGTGATGGAACAAATTTAAGAGGGGGGGAGAATTCCACTGGTAAGAAATTTCTTTGGCTAGTCCTTCACTGCCATCAGCATCTTCAACATGCTGCTGCACCCTGTAATAGTTACTCTGCTAATGTAAATTTGTGTGTGCCTTGCTGTAGTAGCGACTTGTTACTGGATAAAACAAAAGGGGGAAGATGTGGAGACAGTGTTCTCACAGGAGAATGCATAAGTGGTACATAAACTTTGAATAGTCCTGAAAGATACAGCAAGGCCATGGGAGGCCCGAAGAAGCTTAAGCAAGCAAGATAAGAGGCTGGAATTCACCAAGTTAATGAGAACTGTGGACTGTTGGCAAGCTTTCAAGGTTGAGTTCTCACACCTGTGTTTAACCAATTATATGTTAGTCACTAAGGGTCTTCAAAACATGTATCCAATCATAATATGCCAAATCACTGTAAGTGCTTCAGCTGGGGCCTTGGCTCAACCAAGCAGACTGGGTTGCTGAGTTGCTAAGCAGACAATTCTACATCGAAGGCAATTCCTGATTTGTTTTAATGTTGACTCTGTAAGACATGCAACACTGCAGAACCTTTTGTTGTTGGAACAGGGACATGGATGTGAAGAGTTTGATGGAATGTGTTTTATGAGTCTCTCTGATTATGCTAATTGGATGCACGCACAGCTGAGAACCCTGGCTCAGCTTACCCAGCAATAGTAAATGAGCAGTATTCTAAGAGTAATTAGATGGTTGTTTTCACGGGGCATTACAGGTTGAGTCAAACACTGTTTAAAAGTATTGCACTTCTGTATCATTGATTAGGTTAATCATGGTAGCTATTAGACTTGTTTATAGTTGTGTGATAAAACAGGTGAACAGAATAACCCATAATGCCTTGCTTGCACAAAGAAAAAGGGGGGAATTGTTGCAGAATGACTCTAAGAGCAGGACCATAGAGTTCTGGAGGACTGTGCAAGCAAGGCAGGGGGTGGCCCCCACAGGTGGCCAGAGACCGGACCTGGGAGGAGAATGTGGAGGAAGCTGTGGGGGGCTAACCAATACTGTTATGCCAAGAAGGAGTGGCTGAATACCACTCCTATATATGTGTGAACTGCGTCACAAATAAGGTAGAAGTTGCTTATCACCCATATTGGGTTGGCCTGTCTGCTTCTCCTCGCCGCTTACAAATGGCGCCCGAACAGGGACGCCGACTACAGGGCCCCGGCCGACGGGGACCCGGGATACAGGGCCCCGACTAGCGGGGACTCGGGATACAGGGCCCCAGTCGACGGGGACACAGAATACAGGGCCCCGACTAGCGGGGACCCGGGATACAGGGCCCCGGTCGACGGGGACCCGGAACGGCGAGTGAGCGGCGCCGGCGGCAGCGGCCGGGAAGCGCGGGCAATGCTGCTGCGGTGGCGTGACGGACCCGGGTGCTTGGGCTAACCAAAAGAATCCGCCGCTGTGGTGAACCAGACACTGCTGCGTCGGGAGGCCGATCCGGAGACTGAGGTTGCAGGACGATCCAGGAGAAGACGATCCGGAAAACCCTGCCATGACAAATGGACCGAGAGGTAGCCCTGGACTTACTACAGTGCTTCTTATAAAAGCGGAGAACTGAGCCCTGAACTTTTTACAGTGCTTTTTATAAAAGCAGGGAATTGAGCCTGAGACTCTAAAGCAGCTATCAGGTCTACTGGCTGTAGGGAAGGCTAAGAGATTTTTTTTTGCAGATCCTAATACAATATTTGAGGAGAGTGAGTGGCGAAAGTTTGGTGATGAACTATTTGACTCAGTGCTTAATGATTATAAAAAGGCAAAGAAACTCGGTAAACCACGGAGGGAAGTAATGAACTGTATAAAAAGATACAAGGCAGAAAAGAAAACTGCTGCGGTAGCAACGGAGAAACTAGGAACAGACGTCCCCGGTCGGTTGAAACCGGGGGAAGATTATGTCATAAATTGAGACCACAACGGATCATAATCCAATTAAAATTTTTATTAATTATAGCAAGTAGGATATGAGCAAAAACAGCGCTGGACGACAGGGGAGTCTGCGCTCCGACAACTGCCGTACTGAGCAGTTCAAATAGTCCCTTTTTATACATCTTTACTTCCGTGCTCGTGAAGTAGTGGAGGTACTCTGCGCATGCTTCAGCTGTTGCTAGGGGGTCACTTCTGTCTCCTGGTGGTCGTTGAGGCTGAAGTAAGAAATCTTCCTCCTTCATCCTATAGTTGACCTTTTACCCATATGTCCTTATATGGAGTTGTTTTATCTTATTTCTGCCAGTTCCTGAAACATCTTACTGTTATCTTTAGTCCACATCTGCTATGTTTGTCTAAGCGGTACTTGATTTAGTTTGTGTAAGTGTTTGCGGCTATCTTATCTTGCACAAGCTGTGTCCGGTGACTGTTTGAGTAAGTGATTTCACATTTTTTTGTTGTCTAACATAAATCTTAATAAACAATACCCTTATTCTTAGTTTCTTACACCTAATCTTTACGTTGGACTTAACATAAATCTTAATAGACAATACCCTTATCCTTAGTTTCTTACACCTAACCTTTACATTGGGCTTAACATAAATCCTAATAAACAATACTCTTATCCTTAGTTTCTTACAATCCCCCCTTTTTCTTTTTATCCTATTATTGTTTATTAGACGCTACTTTCATTCTCGGTACTGCAAGCAATCCTTTTTCCACACTCCCAACATTTATCATAACACTTACAATGCAATATCTCGCAATTACAAACATAGTTTTTACGTGGCATAACACATTCACAATAATCTTCATTCTCATTATCTTCATCCTCATTAATAGATACGCTCTTATATTTTGCTCCAGACCTCGTGGTTAAAATAAGCAGTTTAGCTATGTCAAACCGTTCTCTAATAAAGTGTAAAATATAGCGTAATATACAAGGCCCAAATATAAGTCCCAAGATCAACATAATAAGCGGTCCTGCTAAAGCAGACAACAAAGTGGTTAGCCAAGGTGAAACCTTAAACCAGTTTTCATACCATGACCTGCCCGCCTCACGATCTTTCTTACGTTGATCTAACCTTTTCCGGAGTTCAGACATGGTGTCTTGGACTATCCCCGTATGGTCAGCAAAAGAACAACATTCTTCATTGAGAGCTACACATAACCCTCCCTCCTTTAAGAACAATAGATCTAATCCCCTTCTATTTTGCAGTACTACTTCTGATAAAGACTTTACTGAAGTGGCTAAATTTTGGATAGATTGTTCTATTTTTGCTAAATCCTCATCTACAGCCATCTGCAAACTTTGTAATTCCTGACCTTTTACTAGGGAGGCTATGCCTGTGCCTGCTCCAACTCCACCCGCTATCAGCAGTGTAGCTAAAGTTACCACTGTAATTGGCTCTCGTTTTTGTCTATTCAGGTCTCCTTCAAAATGGTGTAACACCTCCTCAGAGGTGTGATAGATCAGACGAGGAACAATAATCACCTGTACGCAAAACTGAGATTGATTAAACACTTTTAGGGATAGGCAAGGCGTTACTCCGATGTCTGAACAAACCCATTTAGCTCCTGGTGTCGGGATAGCCCATTTGTCATTTTTATTCTTGTGTTTCTCTATAGTGTGTTTTTCTATAGTGATTGCTCGGTTGCACAAAGGTTGATACTTTTTGGGCACTGTACCTATACATTTTCCTTGACCTGTTACTAATTGAATAGTAATTCCTTGCATATGGTTCCTCTGGTCATTCCATGGGCATTCTCGTGGGTTTGAACCATTAGACCATTGAATCCTACCTGGTTTTCCAATTGCCTCAAAATATGGTGGCCTAACACTATAACATAACCAACATTCCTCAGTTAAATTTGGTTTGCTTTCATTAAGGGCATGATAAGAGGCTTGCATTAGATTCCATAAGGGGTCTTTGGATTCTGACAACTCTAGATCCCTGGATACAATGCCATTAGTTGTTTTCGAAAGGGAGTCTGGAGAAGTGGGTGCGACACTTGCGGGGGCAACCTTTTCTTCAGAGAAAGTGGGTGGATTTAGGACCAGATTTGGTCCTACTGGTAAAGGATCATGAGGAAGCTTTTCTTTAATTATTCTAAAGCAACTTCCCCTATCTGCTCCTGATTCCCAATATCTAATTCCCCAGATGCGGCCAACTAACCATGTGTCATCTTGGGGTTCTTTTATAATGATTTCAATTCTGGTACAGGACACGGACACGCTGCCACAGGGTCTTCTAGGGTGTCCATCAAAATCATGCTTTGGGGGAGTGCAGCCCGGGGGTCCCCAAGTTACATCTATATATTTATCTCCCCGCGTTTTCCAATTTGAAGCAATAGTTTCACAACCCCAATAGCCACAGTAAAAATGACCTGGATAATTACAATAACTTCTGCCAGGGTTACTTGCTGGACATATATAAAATGCCTTGCATTGGGCCTGAAGCTTTGCTAGATCTGGGGTAAAAACAGGGGAGTCCTGTTCTATAGGTATCAGGGAATATAGATGCACGGAGAAATTCCACTTCCCTGGACCGATCTGAGTTTGAATTAATTTTGACTCTGGTAAATTATATAATTTCCAGGCCATAGGTTCATGAGGGTTTCCATTTGCTTGGGTTATTATCAATAACAAAACTAATGGCATACCAGGAAAAAGGGTGTCTGTCAATTTTTCCAGTTTAAGTATATTTTTACCAGTCCTGGGGAAGTTCGGCCATTGCTGCTTTTGCGTCCCATTGCTCTGGTTCTTTTCTCCACAGTTTGTTCCTCCTCTGCCTCGCCCGTCGACTCGGTTGCTTCGAGCCACGGGGTGTACCATCTTCTTGGCAGCAAGGGAATTCTTCAGGAGAGTAGCTGTTTCGGGCTTTCTGCCTATTTACATAGGCTTCCCACTTTGCAGCTTTAACTAATGGGGCAAAGCAAGGCACAGTTAGTACTTCCCTTCTACACTTACACTTTATAACCAAAATTTCAGTTACAAAGGGGACTGGTTCGTTGGAGTGGTAACAATAATATTGAGGGTTTACTCCTTTGGCAAAAAAATCTTCCACTACTCATGGAATTCCCGAATAATTTCTTGTTTTAGACTCTAATTGTTTTAATTTCCACTCAGTGAGAGTTCTTTGGATTTTCCAATACCGTGTGCAAGCTTCTATCGGAGGGTATCCATATTCACAGTGTGCCCACCATTTATCCTGGCATACCTCACACCTAAAACAAGCAAATGGATAACAATTGCAGTTCAAATTATTACACCTAATTTTTACATCAGCATATCTTCTATATTCACTATTGTGTGGTTGCATAAGTTTAGCAATTTCCTTCAACACACTTTGTACACTTCCATATATAATAGAAAAAAAGAGAAATAATTATCGCAAATATAAACAGCAATACACACTTTATACCAAAAGGTAATGCGGCAAAATAATCAAATAAAGTCTCTATCATTATGTTATCTTTTCAGAATTATCTTGGTGTCACCTGGAGTACTGATTACTTTCCAGTGGGGTCTCGTCACTGGGCCTTTAATGCGACTGGCATGAGTCCATCCACGCTCAGCAGTCCGGACAGCTGTTTCTGTTGTAAGCAAAACAAGATAAGGTCCCTCCCAATTGGGTTTTAGGGTTTCTTCCTTCCACACTTTAATCAATATCCAATCCCCAGGTTTAACATTGTGAATTTTTAAGTCCAACGGGGGTCGTTGCACAATCAGTCCATGTTCCCAAAGCTTGTTACGATGTTCTGCTAATTGTGAAACATATGCATTAATCACACGGTCTCGAATTAAAACATTTGTTTGTGGACTTTCAATTCTGTAAGACATTCCATACACCATTTCAAACGCTGATATTCCTACATCTGCTCGGGGTCTGGTTCTGAGAATTAATAGTGCCATGGGTAGGCACTTAATCCATGATAATTTGGTTTCTATCATTAATTTAGTCAAAATAGTTTTGATTTCTCCATTCATCCTTTCAACTTTTCCTGAACTTTGTGGATGCCATGGTGTATGGTATTCCCACTTAATACCCAAGCTTTCTGTTAGATCTCTAACAATTTTTGACACAAAGTGTGTTCCTCTGTCCGAGTCGATTACTTCAGGTACTCCATATCGAGGTATAATGTGTTCAAGTAACACTTTAGTAACTTGGTTAGCAGTTGCCCTGGAGGTAGGAAAAGCCTCAACATAATGTGTTAAATGATCCACCATAACTAATAAATATTTATAACGCCCTGCCCTAGGTAGTTCAGTAAAATCTACTTGTATGTGTGAGAAAGGTCTGTATGCTGGGGAACGTCCTCCAAGAGGTCTTTGTCTCATGTTGTTTCGATTAATCTTTTGACAGGTCTCGCAGGCTGCCGTGACTGTCTTTGCTATATTATATACGCCTATACAGGCAAACTGTTGATTGAAATGATCAACTAACGCCTGTGTTCCCCAGTGTGTTTTACTGTGTATTTTTGAAAATATTTCGAGTGCTATGCCTTTCGGCAAGACTTCTCTCCCATCTGGCAATATGTACTTCCCATCTTGTTCCTTAGCTCCCATTTGTTCTAGTTTTTCCTTTTCTGCAGACTCAAAACTCAAATTCTTATTAACAGGTACTTGTTGCATAGTCAAAATCATACTATAATTGCCTGCCACTCGTTTTGCTTCTGTATCAGCTGCATTATTTCCCCTAACTTGATAACTTGTACCTCGCTGGTGTCCCTTTATATGTACAACTGCTATTTTATTCGGCATTTTCAATGCCCCCAGAACTCGCCGAATTAATTCCGGGTGTGTTAGTTCTTTTCCCTGTGAGTTAACAAATCCTCTTTCCTCCCATATTTTTCCAAAAGTGTGCACTACTCCGAACGCATAGCGTGAGTCTGTATATATAGTTCCATCCTTTCCTTTTAGTGACACTAATGCTTTCCACAATGCATACAGCTCACAGGCTTGAGCTGACCAGCTGGCACTCAGGGGGCCTGATTCTATTGTCCTAAATTCCCCTTTTTCCAACTTAACGATGGCATATCCAGATAATCGTTTACCTTTCACTATTCGTGATGACCCGTCTATAAATAATACTTCTCCACATTGTAGTTCTTCTTCTTCTAAATCTGGCCTAATGCGTGTCTGTTGTTCAATTGTTTGAAAACAATTGTGCAATAATTCATTACCTTCTCCTGGGTACAAAAATTCAGCGGGGTTAACTGCTCCAATAGTTTTCAAAGATAGTTTAGGGGATTCTATAAGTATTCCCTCATATTTTAATAATCGGCTATCTGTAAGCCATTTTTCTGCTTTTTGTTGTAACACTCCCCGGATGTTATGAGGCGCATATAAGACAACCTCTCCATTAAAGGTAATGCGATTTGTTTCCTCAAGTAATAAGGCAGCAGCAACAATGATTTGTAAACAACTCGGCCAACCCCTGCTCACAGGGTCCAATAACTTTGATAGGTATGCCACCGGTTTCTTCTGTCCGGCCCATTCCTGAGTTAATACTCCGAATGCCGTTCCTTCATGTATGTTAACAAATAAATGGAATGGCCGCTTTAAATCTGGTAGGCTTAAAACCGGTGCTTGACTTAACTCTCTTTTGAGACTGACAAACTGCTCTTGATCCTGAGGGGTCCACTTGGGTATTTTGTCTTTAGACAGTTGTTCATATAAGAATTTAACTTTAAAGCTATAGTTTTCTATCCATTGCCTACAATACCCAAATAGCCCTAATGCCTGCCGAATTTGCCTTTTAGTAACAGGCATAGGTAATTCCAAAATTCCTTTAATGCGCTCTGGATCCAATATCTTCTGGCCGTTAAACAAATAATGTCCCAAATATTTCACTTTTTCCTCCACAAATTGTAACTTTTCTTGTGATACCCGTAGGCCCTTTTGTGCAAGAAAGTTTAGAAGTCGAATGCTTTCTTTTCTTACATCCTCCTTATTATTCCCTGCTATGAGCAGATCATCTACATACTGTAACAGCACGTTCCCCGTTTGTACCTGGTATTCTTTTAAGAGCTCTTCCAGGGCCTGTCCAAACAGATTAGGGGACTCAGTAAACCCTTGGGGAAGCACAGTCCATCTCAATTGCTGTCTACGGCCTGTCTCTATGTCTTCCCATTCAAAGGCAAAATAATCACGGCATTCTTCTGCCAGTGGACAGGCCCAAAAGGCATCCTTTAAATCAGCCACACTATACCAGGAGTTATGGGGTCCTAGTTTGCTTAGCAGTGTGTATGGATTTGCTACTACAGGGAACCGGGTGATAGTTCTTTTGTTTATTTCCCTTAAATCATGTACGAGCCGATATTTCCCATTTGGTTTCTTTACAGGCAAAATGGGGGTGTTAAAGGGTGACATACAAGGCTCTAAGACTCCTTGTGCTAACAATCGATCAATTTCTGGCTTTAATCCTCTTCGTCCTTCTAGGGATATGGGGTATTGCCTTACCCTCACAGGTATGTGGGGTTCGGAAATTTGGATTTTAATTGGTGGAATTTCCAATCTACTAATTGTGTCCGGAGAGTACCAGACATCGGGGTTAATTTGTTTTTGATCATCCACGGTCAAAGGATAAGCAGACACTGTCAGCTCTTGATTTTTCACTTTAATTTCTAATTGCAATTCAACAATTAAATCTCGTCCTAACAGATTAAATTCTGCTTCAGGGACGAGCAAGAGTTCACCCATTCCAAATTTATTTTCAGTTTCGAATACCACATTTTTGATTTTGCTTACTTTAAAGGGTTCTCCTTTTGCCCCAATTACTTGTACTTTTTCAGGGGAAACTTTACATCCCTCAGGTATTTGCTTAATAGTTGATTTTTCAGCCCCAGTGTCTACTAAAAAGGTGAACTCTTGTTTATGGGGACCTATTCTTAATTTTATCAAGGGCTCATGATGACTCCGGTCCCCTAAGATATAGAGCCCCTGACTCTCCTATTCCGTTTTCAACATTTCCTCATCCCTGATCCTTTGTCTGCAATTCTTCTTTATATGTCCCTTCTTTCCACAGTAAAAACAATATCTCTGTTCCTTCTCTACTACTATGTTCCCTTGTTTCGTTCCAGCAGATCTGTGTTCACCAGTTCGCCCTTTGCGATCCTCTCTGACCACTGCTACCATCATTTTTACTTGTCGCTTGCTGCTCTCTTCTTCCCGCCTTACATAAACTTTCTGAGCTTCTCTCAGTAATTCATCCAGCCCTCTATTCTGCCAGTCTTCTAACTTTTCAATCTTCTTTCTGATATCTTCCCATGATTTTGCCACAAACTGAGTTTTGAGGAGCGCTTGCCCTAAAGGGTCGTCTGGATTTACCCCAGAGTACAGCTGAAGGGCTTTCCTCAGTCGTTCTAGCCACTCAGTAGGGCTTTCATCTTTCTTTTGCATTTCATTAAATGCTTTATTGATATTCTGGCCACGGGGTACTGCTTCTCTAATTCCCTGAATTACTATAGTTCTCAGATCCTGCATATGAGTTCTATGTACCGGATCTTGATTATCCCAATTAGGTCTTTGGAGTGGCCATTTAATATCTGCTTGGGGTCCCTGGACATGTTGAGCATCCCACAGTCTCATTCCTGCTCGTCTAATCATATCTCTTTCCTCAGTAGTAAATAATTGACCAAGGATAGATTGCATCTCATCCCAAGTATAAAGGTTTGGTCCCAAAAATTGATCTAATCTTTCTGCCACTCCGAGTGGGTCCTCAATTAAGTTTCCCATCTCGGTTCTTTTAAAATCTCGTAGGTCAGCCGAATTTAAGGGTACGGAAATATATCCGATCACAGGTTGAGGTCCCCCCATGGGTATTTCCCTTAGAGGGTACATCTGAGCTGCCCCTTTTTGACTTCTAGTTACGCGTCTAGGAGGAGGGGGAGACTCTTGTTCCGACTCTGGTGGGGGAGTGGATGCTCTGGGGGCCTCTGGAGGGGCTGTGGGAGCAGGAGGAGGAATATAAGGAGGGAGGGTTAGAAGGGTTTCGTCTAATTCTTCCTTCTTTTTCTTTTGTTTAGTTTTTATTTCATTCAACGGGTAAAGTCTAGCTCCCGATTTTTCTAGCCACACTTCCGCATATTGACTCTCCTCCGGGTTAAGGGGTTTTTTATTATTAACCCAGAGGTTTAATTGCTGTCTTACCCAATCTTCTTCTGACCCATAGACTGGCCAAAAGACATTTTTAGAAATCTTCTTCCCTCCCCATATCTTAGTACAATATTCTATCATTTTTTGTTTATCTTTTCCTAGGGTTCCAGGGAAATATCTCCAATTGTCTAAGATATATGCCAGAGGGCTATTCTTAGGTACAATGGGTACCCTTCCCATGGGAGTCGAAGGCTTGCTGCCCTTCGCCCCTATCTTCTGGAATATCCACAAACATACACTCACTCACTCCTCTTGTTCCTGGCCCAGTCCCTCGCGGGAGATGGGAAACGCAGTACTTAAGAGTCCACACTCGCTTGGTTCAGTATATCGAACCTCTCACTCGTTATATTCCAGGAAACCCAATCCCGCCCGAACGGCAAACCCACGAACAACTTCGCAATATACTTACGCATCCTGCGTCTTCGTCCGGACTCCCGTGCACAGAATTTTATGGGATTTTACCGGTTTCTCCTTTGCTCATTATTCTAGAATTTAGGTTCGTCGGTAAGGTTGGGGTGAGCTGTTGGTCGCGGGGCCGCGAAATGTCGCGGGGCGCCTCCCCGGAGGACCAAAGCCCACCGTTCCTTATCCGAGTCACGGCACCAGAAAATTGTCATAAATTGAGACCACAACGGATCATAATCCAATTAAAATTTTTATTAATTATAGCAAGTAGGATATGAGCAAAAACAGCGCTGGACGACAGGGGAGTCTGCGCTCCGACAACTGCCGTACTGAGCAGTTCAAATAGTCCCTTTTTATACATCTTTACTTCCGTGCTCGTGAAGTAGTGGAGGTACTCTGCGCATGCTTCAGCTGTTGCTAGGGGGTCACTTCTGTCTCCTGGTGGTTGTTGAGGCTGAAGTAAGAAATCTTCCTCCTTCATCCTATAGTTGACCTTTTACCCATATGTCCTTATATGGAGTTGTTTTATCTTATTTCTGCCAGTTCCTGAAACATCTTACTGTTATCTTTAGTCCACATCTGCTATGTTTGTCTAAGCGGTACTTGATTTAGTTTGTGTAAGTGTTTGCGGTTATCTTATCTTGCACAAGCTGTGTCCGGTGACTGTTTGAGTAAGTGATTTCACATTTTTTTGTTGTCTAACATAAATCTTAAACAATACCCTTATTCTTAGTTTCTTACACCTAATCTTTACGTTGGACTTAACATAAATCTTAATAGACAATACACTTAT